TCAGTGCTTCAACTCGGTTACTTTTTTAACCGTATCAATTTTTCATTTCAGTGCAGACCATAAAAGTTTAGATTCTCGGGGAGAAGGCAGTTATAATCTTCAGATTTTGAACAGTATCGCTACAGCCATAATTTCCTCCAGTCATACTTCATAAATGTATTTAGGCGTTACCTTTCTGGCACCTCCACAAGCTGGTTGTAAAGAGCTTTTTGAGATTATTTGCCACCTACTGTGGGTGGCCGTCTCTCTAAGGGATGGATTTCAATCAATAATGCAATAATGGGTAACACTTTATTTTGATGGTCCCTTTTGAACATTCTGTTTTATTGCATCTTTCATTATGTCTATTCTAAAATTAATTCCTGTAGCCTTTGCCTGTGGTTAATACAGCTAAAGCTGTAATACAGACTCTGTTGCAGGAGAAGACCTGATGAGACCTGACTATTGAAGTCAATATGCAATGGGCCCATGACTGGTCCCTGAGGAACTCCTGAGCAGAGTCACATGTATTTACTGCTCTCATTAAATGCATACAGACATATTCATTCCTTTCATTAGATTTAATTCCTTAGGGGTTTTAGTCCCATTAGGACACCAGAAACTTCACAATTTGGCTTTAATACAATGTCAGTTATATTAAAAATCATCATGTTTTTAAATACTAACATTTATTTATAATCATATACGTCTTCTTCACGTCTTATTAATATCAACATTTTAAATGCAGCTATAAAAGGGTGAAAGTAGGCAAGATGTGCAGTGGTGGTTGAATACGAGTGATTTTTTTATTTATTTTTTTTCTCCAAGTAGCATCTGCATCCATCTCTCCAGACTTGTCTCACACTGTTGGATACAAATGTAATCAAATATAGCTCTGAATCATGGGAGGAGTTCAGGACCGCTTACTTAATTGCCTTTAACCCAATTCATATACTTCTCGCTGTAGGAGAATTGGAACCATGCAGGAGTGATTACAGCATCACCAAAAGTAAGAGAGACTGATATGAAGAGCCAGCGGTTTGAAAGGAAAGAGGTGCAGATTGGGAGACTTAAGAGAGATTCCTCTACAGCTTATTGTGCATATTTTTCTTCTGCTCTGTTGTCTGCTGGGCTTGGCAATATTTTTGATTAGCATTTTTCGTGCATTCAAATTTTATGTAAAAATATTTATAGTTAAATATTGCTGTTTAGTGCTATGCATTGCTAAATTGGTGCACATAAATTAAATGGTTTAAAAATTGTTCAAGTTTATTTAGTGAACAGTGTGGGAAATATGCCTTATGTCTTAACTAGTAACCCTACCTACTAATACTCTACTAATACTCTAATGAGAGTTAGTAGACATGTAGGTGCAACGTTACTTATAGTCAACTGAATGTGTTAAAGGGACCATCAAAATAAAGTGAAACCCAATAAGGTAATATATATATATATATATATATATATACAGTGGGTACGGAAAGTATTCAGACCCCCTTAAAATTGCCTTTAACCCAATTCATATACTTCTCGCTGTAGGAGAATTGGAACCATGCAGGAGTGATTACAGCATCACCAAAAGTAAGAGAGACTGATATGAAGAGCCAGCGGTTTGAAAGGAAAGAGGTGCAGATTGGGAGACTTAAGAGAGATTCCTCTACAGCTTATTGTGCATATTTTTCTTCTGCTCTGTTGTCTGCGGGCTTGGCAATATTTTTGATTAGCATTTTTCGCGCATTCAAATTTTATGTAAAAATATTTATAGTTAAATATTGCTGTTTAGTGCTATGCATTGCTAAATTGGTGCACATAAATTAAATGGTTTAAAAATTGTTCAAGTTTATTTAGTGAACAGTGTGGGAAATATGCCTTGATTATGTCTTAACTAGATTTTTTGCTGTAATTTACTTTTTCACCTTTTCATGCCAATTTGTATAAAATGCTTGTGCAGTAATTATTGCCAAAAGACTAAAAATACCAACAAAATTATACGCATGCACTTATGGGTCTGTGAGCTGGATCATACTCATAATTTCTGCCAAGCCAAAAAGGAACAAATATCATTGAACAATTTAGTTTCAGGTCCATGTACACTTGTTTCATCTTTAAGTTTAGGAAAGAAGTAAAGAAGAGCTCTCAACTGATGCTATAGGGTGGATTGATGGTGTGTTTTCGTTTTGTGTCAGACAGACTGCTCATGATGGTCTGGATATAGAACCAACCCCCTCCCTCTCATGAAATTTCCAATTCACAGTGTGAAGCAAGCACAAATAAATGTGACATTTGACAACAAGGCTATCAGATGTGAAAATCTTCCAGCGATAGCCACAGTCATGCCACTGTGACCAGCCAATTTCTAGGCTTGTTTGAGGCTGGGGCGGAAAAATAAATGTCTACCAAAATATTTACAGGACTGAACATTGGAAAAACTGTGTGAACAGCATATACAACAAATGCAGAAAAATGCATCTCAGATTTGAAGATGACATTTGAAGGGTTATATAACACATCAAATAGGCATTTTAAAATATCTTTATTTGGCACATTCTTGTAACTTTTCAAGACTCAAGCTTTAAAGCATATCATGCCTGATAGCCAAGTGCCTATAATATTTTTTCAGTGCAATCCACTGATACTCACAAAGAAGGAAGTTGCTGTATTATTTCCTTTGTTCTGTTCCTTTCTCTCAGATCCAGGTGATTAGCTTTGTGACTGAGCAGAACTGGGACTCTCTCGAGGTGTTTGATGGGGGTGACAGCACTGACACCATGCTGGGGAGCTTCTCAGGTGGGTTGTCTAATACTTCTATAACTCAGTTCATTACATAAACACATTGTCACAATCTTGCTTTTTTTTAATTTATTTTTTTTGCTTTGAATGCTTGGAATATTCCTATGTGGATGTCTGAGAGAAATGCACAGTTTGTCTTGCGCAGAAATGTAGTTTTGCATCAATATTTAGACCACTGTATGATGTATGAACAGTTTATACATCATAAGAACGATTCTCTATTGTCGCCAATGTGCATTTGTGTTGCATTATGGGAATCGGAAGCTACTTACACAGTAGAGAAGGCTGAATTTTCCCTTTTATTGGCACAAAGAGCAGGCACAAATTTTACAAGTGCCCTAGAGAGAGATGAATGAATGATACATCCTAAAATGAATAACAGAGTACAGAGTGAAGACAAATGAGCCAATCATATCCACACACACTGAGCCATATGACTAAAAGAGCTGTATAAACTTCAGACGAATGCATGCTTAACGATTCTCATCTGCATTGGACTTTTAGAAATGAATGCTTAAGGAAAAACAGTGTGTAGTTTTATTGTATTTTACTTGACTTTTAAACAATAGTGCAGAGCACAATGTAAATTCAAAGACATCATAAAACTTGATATTCAGACAGTTGTTTTGTATTTCAGAAATGTCTGTGTACTTGCCAAGTGAAAATAAATGCATGATGTTTGGTTTGCAACTTTGCTTTAATGTCATCTCATGTAAGATATGCATGATTTAAAATACTGTATGCAGAATAAGATAAAAACCTCCACATTATTCCATAAATATCTTAAATTGCTTGCTACAGTTCCATGCCTTTTTTTTTCACTTTTATCTTTAGTAGTTAGCCAAGGTTTTCATCTTATATTTTATTTCAGCTTTATTTTTAGCTTTGTTTAACAGAACCGATTTTAATTATTTTAGTTTTAGTTAACAATAACAATGTGAAGTGTACAAAGTTGAATTTGCCACTATCAAAAAAGATGTTTTGTACAAAAGTCAAGGACACATTGATTCAACTACATAACCACAATATGCTAACGGATTCGTTATTCTACAGGTACAACAGTTCCAGCCCTCTTAAACAGCACCTCCAACCAGCTCTACCTGCACTTCTTCTCAGACATCAGCGTCTCTGCAGCTGGTTTCCGTCTAGAGTACAAGAGTAGGACATTTGTTGCGAGTCCTGTGCATCTGGACTACACACACATCTCTAAAAACTCAACTAGCTTTTGCATTCAACTTAATTACTCTCTTTATTTGTCATGTTTTCTTGTTTTCTCTCACAGCTGTGTCCCTCACTAGCTGTCCTGAACCAGTAGTACCCATGAATGGCTTCAAAGTGGGCGAGAGACTCCAGATGAACAGTGTGGTGTCTTTCCAGTGTGACCCTGGATATACTCTGCAGGTGAGACTGAACTTGCCAAAAGTTGGACAAAACCGTGGACACAATGCAGCAGTCGTTGTTTCAGGACGCAGAAGTTACATCAAGTGGCATCCCAACACAATTCCAAAATAGTTAATTGTACAGAATACCAAAAAATCTATAAAACGCTCTTGGCAGCAAATAATTTACTGCTCAAAACAATGTGGTCAGAGGAAACCATGATTAGTCTTGATTTGAGAGCATGTTGTGCAACCTGGCCATGTTGGCACCTACCTAATTTGTCACGCTTTTATGGAAAATAAATGATTTTTCACAAAACTAGTGTAGAGTTTAACATTTCACATCAACGACAAAAGATTTTCCCCTGGGAAACTTATTTATTTTTCTCTGTGGACTGCTTACATTTATGTACTAGTAGTAATGCCAAGGTCATGTGTTCAAAAGACCTTGCAGTCAGTTTTTTGGATAAAATGTTGGTTGGAGAGATGGGGGCAGTGACAGTTAATGATTTTTCTGATGCCTGGCTCCATGTTGCTCATCTGCTCTTTTATATTTTCATTACCTGTTTGTGGTGCTGGGTAGATTACTTACTAATAGTAGTCCATTACTGAATGCAAATCACATGATGAAATTTGTAGTTAGTTACGTAATCTGTTACATTACATATTTTAGGTAATATAATCTGACTACTTTTTGATGACCTGAAAAAGCTGAAATATTATGCAATACAATAACTTATGAAAAATACAATACAATAACTTATGAAAAATGTATGTATTTTATGCATATTAAGTAATCATGTAATGAATAAAAAAGTAACTGTAGTTTGATTATGAGTATTTGAAATGTATTTGAAAAGTATTTTACATATAATCAGTTACTACCTCGCACTACCTGTTGGTCACTGCTGCTCGGGACAGTGTGCAAACCTGACAGATATTTCGGGACAGTTTGAAATTAGTTTACATCTGCGATTAGTAGTAGCATAGACTCGCTCAGACTAGATGCAGACTTAAAACAAGAAAGGATGATGAGCTTCAGAACTTGGCTTAAGAAAGCCCAAAAATTTTAGGCGGGGGAAAAAAAAAACTGGATGGTCAGAATGTGGCCAGTGTGAATACTGAATGAATGAACGAAAGACTGAAAAAAAAAAAAATCTTATTTTTATTTTTTATCTTTGCAGGGAGTCTCCCATATCTCTTGCATGCCAGGGCCTGTGCGCCGCTGGAACTATCCGCCTCCTCTCTGCATCGGTAATAACTTCTGTCATCTTTTATTCATTTATTTATTTTCTAAATCCTGGCTTCTACAGATTTATGAGTTCAGATCCACTACAGAGTCCCGAATGGTAAAGAACTACACGGGTACTTGTGTCTGTGTATACAGCAGCCCCAAAAACTACTCGGGCACTTAAGCCACATTTAAAAATGCATTAGGTAACAAATGATCAAATTAATGATGCTAGAGTGTTTCACAGAACTAACTTTGCCGAGCAATGTTTGCAGTTATTGCTTTTATCTAGCTGGTCCCAAACTGATTTGTAGTGGATGTATGATGTCAGTTCTTCTCAAGTTCACATAGATGTCCTAGCAGAATCGCCACATGTGTAGTTCATCTCATTTAACTATGAACAGGATCCCGTCTGACAAGTGCACTTGTGCCATCTTTCTTTTAAAAAATGCCATTTGGTTTGTTAATTTATGTAATGATTTGAAAGGAGCAGGGATCACATGATCAAAATAATAGCATTGCATGTTTCTTGAGAAAAACCTAATAGTGTCCTTTTAGGTACTTATTAGTTCCATCTCCTGCTGTGATTGGCGGAGCTCTTGAGATGATTCATGGCTTGGACGGTCATCAGCAGTTTCCTGATTCCTGCTGCTTTTTCAAAGACACAGAACACATTTTTAACCCCTACATTCAGGATCTGAAGCTTTGTAGGGCTTCTCAGTACATCCATAGGGTCTCTTTGAGTCCAAAGCCAAGGCTTTAATCAGAGTGATATTTGAATCAATCAGTAGTTTAGACTCAAAGCCTCGAAATGAGGAGGGGATAGAGCATGCGTTTTCACTGATATGAGAAGATTGAAGGCTACAGAGGTGCTCGAGTGGCCTTTGATAGCTTTGGGAAGTGAATTGGCCTTTTTAATAAATGAAAGACTTGTTTTTCCTATGATGTCAATTGAAAACCTAATGTGTTACATTTCTTTATTCGGCACAAAGCTTTTAGGGTTACTGCACAAGGTAGACGGCATTGCTAAGCAACGTGAAACATCAATCGACTCGTAGCCCACACAGGTTGCTGAAGATATAACAGTACATTGCATGTTTACACATCTTTCCAAATGGATATATATCTTAATTAGTTAATTATATATCTTAATTATTTATTATTAGAGGCAAATTAAAAGAATCTTGCTTACTTTCTTTCACAAGCAACGTTCTAATTTTCTTGTTTCCATTAAAAGCAAAAGATGTATAATATTGCAGACATAACCCATTTAAAATCCTTTAACAAATTTAAAATCCATCTCATGTATATCACTTAATACATATCACATATAAATTAGATTTTGGGTAACAGTTTAGAATACTGCTCTGTCGTTAATTAATAACTACATAGGAACAAATTACTAATGCCCTAATAACATTCTAGTAACTACTATTAACTAACAAGAAACACTGATTAACGATAAAGTAAGTAATAGGGCTCGGCTGAAAGTGGTAGTTCACTACTACTATTTTTTCATATATCCAAGAGAACTACTAAGAGCTACTATACAGGTTCATAATTAATGTGAATTATGCATAATGTATAATTAATTCTTAAGTGAAGATCATGGTAACCCACTAGTAATGACTCAAGTATTACCAAATCCTTCTAAAGGCACTACTAATTATTTGAATCAGAATTCTAAATTGAAAAGCATGATAATTCGCTAATGTTGACTGACGTCATTGTAAGCTTTTGAGATATATGTAAGGTTTTGGATAGTAATGACTCAAGTGTTACTACATCATTCTAAAGGAATTACTAATTACTTGGATCAGTATTCTAAAGTGAAGATCACGGTAACCCACTAGTAATGACTCAAGTGTTACCAAATCTAGCAAAGGGAATTACTATCCAGAATCTTACAAAAACTTCAAAAGCTTACATGATTTCAGTAATTACTAGAGAGTGATCGTGTTATTCACTTTAGAATACTGATCCAAGTTCCTTCTGAAGAATTTGGTAATACTTGAGTCATTACTAGTGGGTTACCATGACCTTCACTTTGAAATTAATTATTAATTTAGAATTAATTATTAATAACTGCATTATGCATTATTCATATTAATTATGAACCTGTTTACAGTAGTTCTTATTAGTTCTTATGGAGGTATGGAAAAAATAGTAGTTTTCAATGTGCTCTTAGACTTTTGTATCCCACTCTACAAAAGCCTTGCTGGCTCACCAAAAAAAAAAAGAAAAAAGTTTGTTTTCAGGTCAGTGACAGCAATTTTCACTTTCAGTCATCTGCCATAAATATATACATATATTCCCACCAATCAAAAGAAGTGGAAATAGCCTGTTGGTTGTCTCATATCATTCTCTAATGATAGCCTGACAGCTGACCACTGTTTTTGTTCCGTTGTTTTTATTGGTCTTTAGAAGTACTTTAACCTTGAGCACAGCAGGGTTGGCTTACACCACGGTATGTGTTTTCTACAAATGAATGGTTCTAACACTGGCCCCACCATTTTTCTTTTCAGCTCAGTGTGGGGGAATCAGAGAAGTAATGGAAGGCACCATCCTCAGCCCTGGTTTCCCAGGAAACTACCCTAGCAACAGTGACTGCACCTGGAGGATTTACTTGCCAGTCGGTTACGGTGAGGACACAGCAGAATGAGCAGATGCTGTTTAGAAAGATTGTTGTTAATGGCAGTGAGTTCTAGTTTAAGATGAACTGGATAAAACTGGTAATGCTAACCATGATATTTTACTGGTTTGTTACTGGAAGTTACCAGAAATGACAGCTGTAATACATCAAATTCCTACCTTTTAGTTACTAATGCCAATCACATTTTTAATATTTCATTTTTAGCATAGAATATGCATGCACATTAGCTGGACAAGTCTGAATAAAATCATTTTTAGTGTGATTGAAGCTAAAAAAGCTAATTTGTTGATTCCTTTGTTGTCTGATTTTGCTGCAGATTTGAAATATGATATAAAAATAATATCAGCAAACTTTTTTACTGTATGTCTATTGCGGTAACACTTGCAGTAACACAGATTAGCTGTATATTGAAGGAAAACTCTAGTTAATGGTGAATTCCCTAATCTAAAGTGTTACCCCTATTGCCTATATAAAAATAGCCGTTAGCAAGCTGGTTGGGATATTAATTTTACTAAACACATTTTGTTTTCTAATCCAAACAGGGGCTCATTTGCAGTTCTTGAACTTTTCCACTGAGGCCAACCATGATTTCCTGGAAATTAGGAATGGACCTTTTGACACCAGCACAGTGATTGGCAAATTCAGTGGGCAGGACTTACCACCATCTCTTCTAACCACTTCACATGAGACTACTATGTATTTCCATAGCGATCACTCTCAGAATAAGCCTGGCTTCAGATTTGATTATCAGGGTAAAGAAACTAAATAAGAAACTTTGAAAGTTTTTTATTAAGATTAACCATAAAAAAAAAAAAAAAGCCTCCACATATTGTTGTAGTTAGCATTGTTGTTGCAGTTCCGCCTTTGCACATTTATTTTCTCAGGAACCTCAATTTGAATGTCATTTTCAATACCTTTCCAAGTCAAGATAATGAGTAAACACGGTAATAACCCATTCTCTGTGAAGCTGTGCATAAAATCCATGAGGTATAAAATGCTGCTGATGCCAGAATCCAAAGTAGAATATGAGTCCAATGAGTGAATTTAAAATTGTCATAGAAATGGGCTTTTCTAGGATGGATCCGTGAAAGCTATCAGAATTTACACTATAATGCAATGACAATTTGCAGTATTGAAATGGCTTGTGAAATCAATATTTACATAATTATGTGTACATTAGCATATAAATCAAGCATTATATCTGGCAGTATTCTCTTTTGCAGTGCCTTGTAAGATGCTCTGATCCACAGAAATTAATTTCTTTAGTTGTGGTCATTCAGTCTGAAAGCTTCAGCGTATTTCCTTTTGTGTCTATGAGATTTGAAAAATAACATTGATCACTTGGTTGCATTGCCATGAATTTCAGACCTGCATGTCTGAGAGAAAGTTGTCGGAGCTTTGATTACATTTGCTTTGAATCAAATCCCAATGCTTTGTTGGGGTACAGCAATCAGTTGATTCCATGCATATGGTTTACATGTAAAATTCACAGAATCTAGGTTTAGATTGGTGCTTGGAGCTCAGAGCAAAATATATATTTTTTTTTGATGAAAGTTGATTTCTTTGAGGTGTCACAAAAGATGGACTTGGGCCTGGCTTTCTTCTACCAGGTTCATAAATAAATCATACATTTTCTTCCCGTCTTTCATGTATCAATATGTCTTTTCCAGCCTATGAACTTCAAGAGTGTCCTGATCCTGAACCCTTCCGCAATGGTGTGGTGGTTGGGGCTGGTTATAATGTGGGTCAGTCCATCTCATTTGAGTGCTATCCAGGGTATCAGCTGATGGGACACTCCATTCTTACCTGTCAACATGGCACTACGCGCAACTGGGATCATCTGTTTCCTCGCTGTGAAGGTACAACCACTTCCATTTTCTCCCCCACACCAGTAAACATCTGATATGCTTATTTGCATTCTGAGAGGACAGATTTTATTTAGTAACCAACCTAGTTTGTAATGTAATGTGTCAGATTTAATATACTACACATTGTCATGTAAAGCATTGATATTTTGGAGGTATAAATAATCTGAGTTACACACTGGAATGTGATTAATTCCATTCATTAAAAAATAAATATGAGTTTTAAAGGTTTTGTTCAGAACATGAAAATTCTGACATCACTTGAGCACCTTCACATCGTTCCAAACCTGTATGACTTTCTTTTTCCAGTAGAACACAAAAGGAGAGGTTTCACACCATGTTCATGCTGCTCGTTTTCATACAATGGAAGTGAATGGTGACCAGGGGCTGTCAAGCTCTACAAATAACAAAAAGTACTATAAAATAGTTTATACATAAATCATTTACTTAACTACTGGCAAATACTATATTATGTATGTTTAATTATTAGCTTAGTTCTCCCCATCGTCACTCCAGCTTTGAATGTGGGGTCCAGGAGGGCAACTGCACATAAATGTAAATTCTTTACTGTAAACCATCACTGCAGACTCAATGGCTTTATTCTAACATCTCCTCCAAGGGGATGATGGGAAACTAATCGAGTTCATTCTTGACCCACATTCTCATGCTCATTTTTCTGTGGATTCAGTGAGTTAATTATTCAGTGGGTCACGAGGTAACATATGCATAGGGGATGCTGAATGCTCGTGTGGACATAAAGACGCTCCAGGGAGGTACTCAATGGGCTGACATTGCATTTGCAGCCTCGTCGCCTTGTTCAGCGTCACTGCACAGGTGAACCCGCAAATAGAAACACACATTATTCATCCGCTTTGTGTTATAATAATCCACACAAAGAAAATGTTAGTATCAACCTGGGCCTTGTTAGAACACTCTTGCACCGTGCGTAATTGAATTTGTAGTAATCGAGAGCTCTGGTGTGAGAGTGAAAAAGGAAAGAATAGATATGATGCATCACACCCCCATGCTGTGTAATATGAACAGTCAAGATGAAAGATGTGACTCTTTTTCTTTTAGACCATCTCAGCTGCTTGAAAGTCTCCTACTATAATATTTACATAAGTACCTCAGAACAATATTCTTCAGCTTTAGTGGATGTTTAACAGGTAAATGGCATTTTTGATGGGCTGCGAAGTCACAGCTAGATTTAAAATGAATGCATCTTTTTATAATAGCTTTTAATACTGATAAAATCAACAGACAATGGGCATTTTCAAGCATCCTGATTATTTAGAATTTTATTGTGTCCATATAATAAACCCATACAATAATGGGTTTAAAGGTTAAATTCAGCCAAGGCTGACTGTATATTTGTTTGACATTCGAATATAATTGTTTATAGGCTGATCGTTGACCATGCGCACACTCAAGTTCGTCCATCTTTACTGATAGTAAAGAGCTCTATAGTGCTTTGACAGTGCATTGCTTTAGTTTAGGTCAAAGACTTTATGCTGTGGTGACTGATGAGATGTCTCTTTAGAGGCACAAATTACAAATTTAACACTGAAATTCACTTTATTGCCTGTTTTAAATTACATTTAAGTAGAATCAGGGACTCAAGTAAAGTACAAATTCTTACTAATAGAATTATAGTACAGTTACTAATAGAAGTATAGTGTAAATTTTAAAATTATAAGTACTTCACATCCCTACTGCTCTAGGTATCATCTGCACGTGCTGCCACCAACAGTTCATGCCCAGGCTGTCATGTACATAGATTTCCTCTCCCAGGCGTTAGAAAGCTGATCGATTTTCTCTTCCTCTGCCCCACCTGTTCATATCAGCCTACTTGGCCTGTCCTCCATCTATGGCTCTCTCCTCTTTTTTAGTTCACCATAGCCCCACATCCTCCCATCCCCACTCACCACTAAACTTTTTTTGCCCAATCGATAGCATCACCATGCATTTCTTCTTGATAGCGTGGCATGTTTTTTTTGTTGTTGTTTAAATCAATGCTGTGATCGATACTTCATTTAGCAAGTAAGGTGGCAAGAGAGAGCACATGGCACAAGGGATTAACATAGGCACCCCTCTCAGCATTCCATCGGAGATGAGAGGAAATGAAGGAGGAGGAAAGAATGCAGGAAGAATTGTAGAAGGATTGAGAGGGCGGGAATGAGTGGGAGTGGGGGGGGGGGGAGACCTTGACGGTGCAAGAAACTGCTGAGACTACAGTCAGAGCGAGAGTGTATTATGACAGTCCGAATGTATGCGTACAAGTCGTGGGCCTATCTTTATTTCGCCAGCCGAATCGCATTGATTATTTCCCCTCCAACTTGGGGCAGCAGCAGCATGGGATCAGCAGGGACAGGAAGGGAATTTGATTTCATATGTCTGGGACTCATTTGAATCATTGGAAACATGGACATGTCTATATAAATGCAAAGCACTGCTGCAAGAGGGATTTCTAAAGTGGAGTCGGACATGGAAAATGAACTACTGGGAACGACTGAGTGGTGTTTAGAACCCAGCGGGGATTTTCACCCGTGTCGCCCTGCCCCTGTCCTGGTTCCTGCGTTCTCCACTTCTCCACTATCTTGCTGTAACAAATTTCTGTGCAAGACTGCTTTCTGTGATTCTTTCATCTTTAGTTGCTACAAAAACAGTTTATTGGGGAGTTTTTCCATATCTAGATTTTCATTTTTGCCTTCTAGTGCCCTGCGGAGGTAACATTACATCAGACAATGGCACTATCTTCTCCCCCGGTTACCCAGAGGATTACTCCACTTCTGCGGACTGCAGCTGGCTGATTACGGTAGCACACGGCCTGGGCATCCGTCTTAATTTCACCCTCCTGCAAGTCCATGGCCCCCAAGATTTCATCACAGTCTGGTGAGTTGTCAAACTTCCTATTGCAATTATCCTTCTACACCTTGTCAGCTTCTCTTTCTCTCTCTGTCACTCTCTTTTCTGGGTGAGAACATATTTATAGCTCCCTCAGACTGATGATTAATTAATGAGCCTCTTTATTGAGTCGCTTGGGGCCTGTATGTACAGGTAGGACTTTGAACTCAGGTTTGTCGCGGGTTCCCCCTAAAACATGTTAGGCCAAAACTTGCAGTCTAAGCACATCTTCTCGAAATTCATTGCCTCTCTTGAGACTGCAATTTTCTGTTTGGATTAACTGAGGAAGCATTGATCTTTCTGTACCTAGGGTTCCCTACTCTCATATACTCTATTACATGCAGGGTTCATCCACTTCAAGTCATAAAGGTACAATATAACCAGAACAGCCAAGAAAAGCTCCATCAAGACAGCTTGGCCTCACTTCAGTGAGCCAGCACTCCCTTTAGCCAACCAGATGCTTTGCTGAATGCACAGGATAGGACGTAATCTGTAGCACAAGCTCAGGCGGTCACAAACAGATGGTTTTGAAGCTGAATGGTCATGGATTAGGGATTAGGTTGGTGCCAAGTTATTCCTTCCCCATTAGAGGACTGTAAAGATGGAGATAAGCCCTAGGTGATGTCCTTGTAGATGGTGGCTTCGGCTTTACAATGTCTTGACTCACAGGCTGAGTCTGTACTGAGCGTGAGAGAACGTAGCGCACTCCCTAAGAGAGTGTGAGTCTTTGAAATCAGAGAAGTAATCAGTATGGCTAGAATCGTCTCTAAAATCAGTAAAGTAATCAATATGCAGAGAAACTCCTCTCAAATCAGCCGGGTGATCAATATGGGTAGGATCTGACTTACTGTGCATTTTTAGGCAACAAGGCATGTAGTGTTCTGCTGTTGCACCGAGTATGCAATGTTAGCAGGTTTTATACGTTGAATTTTATTGTTGCATCTTAAACAGGGATGGACCACAGGAAACAGCCCGCAAACTTGGAGTGTTTACCGAAGGAGAGCCCAACAACCCACCAAGCAGCACATCTAATCAAGTTCTGATACGTTTCCGAAGCTATTCTGAGAAAGGTGGACTGTTCAAGATCAACTACCAAGGTAACTAGTCCAAAAGAAAGCTACCATTAGCATTCCAATACATCTAAATAGTAGTTGGTTGATTGATGCAGGACTCCATGGAAATTTGTGACTGAACAAGTATTAAAGAGTTGCAGTTGAGACCAGCTCATTTGAGCCCAAGAACTGAGTTGGTTGAGTCAGATTCAAGATTGTAACCAAAAGAGGGTCGAGTCAGTGTCAAGACAGAGACCTGAAGAGGGTCTGAATGAATAAGACCATGAAATCTATCCACAGTGTTGTAGTACTCTAGACCAGACTCAATCTCGAGTCCCAGTCAAATGCACCTGAGTTCATGACAAGACCAAGAGCTTGAAAATATGGACTTGAGTACTATAACACTGCATGAGTGCTTAAAACAAAATACAGGTTTTTCAATCCAATGGAGCTGCAGGAAAATGACATGATAACACTGACTGGCACCACAACAGCCATGTCACACTTAAGAGTCCTCTAAAAATGAGAACTGGTTAAACATGATTAAACTGAACCCATGAACTCTGACATCCCAATAATTCCACTTTGTGTCATATAGAACTGTTCTTTACCTTTACAATGGATACAACAGTGCAATATGACATGGCTTACTCTTTACTTCTTTGTCTCTCTCTCTCTTCTAGCCTATAGACTTCAGTTTTGTTTGCCACCTCCTATCATTCCTAACGCAGAAATTCTGATGGCCAGTAAAGAATTTAAAATAGGTGAGTTCATATTGATTTTACATCATTTACAGTCTGATTTGTATGCCTGCTTGTGTGCATTTGTGTTGGTGGGCTCGGCCTGGCCCAGTATAAGTGGAACATTTTGAGCAGAGACGCAGACTGCCAGTTCATTTTCAGGCTTGAGCGGCTCTCATTAATAATGTTCCCAGAATAGCAGAGCCAGCCACACACACACCTCCCCCCCACCACTAACACCCCTCGAGAACTCACTTTGAGGAGAGAAAACCGCTAAGATGTCACGGCTACCGGTCCCATAGGGCCGTGCTGATATGCTGACTCATTGCCAGAATTCAGAACAGAGGCTGATGTTGTGTTGTGTTAAACATAGGTAGAGTTTACATTTTGTGCAAACACAAAATGGTGGGTGGGGGGATTGACCAAACAGAAACTATATTATATGATAAGTATACATTTTTATATTGCATTTAAACTTTTTTTGTGACACATTCCAATAGCAGGTGAATTGAGAAAATTTAATATAGTAATTAAGAATATTTCCTAAATACTTTTTAATGTACTGTACATAGGCGGCACATGTAGCACAAACATGTAGTTTGTGCTACTTAAATAGCAATCACAATCACAGGAAATGATGTACTGTGTACTTGAAAGTTGATTGTTGATTTTTATGCAAAGGAAGTGAAGTGAAGTGAAGTGACATGTGGCCAAGTATGGTGACCCATACTAAGAATTAGTGCTCTGCATTTATCCCATCCAAAGTGCATGGTGTTCACTTGTGTGTGTGTTCACTTAATTCAGTGAACACACACACACCGTGAACACACACCCGGAGCAGTGGGCAGCCATTTTTTGCTGCGGCGCCTGATTGTCAATAAGAGTTTAAAAAGCAGAGCTTGAAGAAGTGTAGACTTTTTTAGACTCAGATATTTGTTTCTAATGAAATTAGTGATATTAGTTTAGTCGTAACTACATCATTCTACCTACAACAACAACACTACTACTACTAATATTTTATTTATTTATAATATAAACACACTCAAACTATTATTTAATCAATTTTGGCTTTAGCACCTATGATAGATTATTATTATTATTATTATTATTATTATTATTATTAAACTTTTGCTCCCCCAAAATCTTTTTGAATAGTTTATTGAAGCTGTTGGTTTCACCTTCAGTTGAGTGCCCACAGAAAATCACGTACAAATAATAATGCAATCCTGACCTCACTGGTCCTCTGTCGCCTCTGAAATCCAATGTTAAATCAATGCACTGCTTTTCTGCCATGGGAAAAAAAATGCATTCATTGATATTAATTGTTTTAAATGGGTAGTTACGGGTCGGTGTAGGGTTGTTTGACCTCTCTGGAATGGAGCGTGTTTGTAGAGCCTCCGTCGGGGTTAAAGCAGTCATGGTCTTTGGCACTAACCTGCAGTGAATCACTGATTATCTACCACATCCAATTAATTTGCTTAATTCAGTGATTGAACAAAGGCTGCTGTGTTCAGATGGCCATGAACACATGCATTCACAGCCACAAACACATTCCTATATGTGAATTTCAAAGCATGCAAAGCCTATTTTTTCTGCTCTAGCTTGTGTTCCATTATTTCAGTGGAGTTAAATGCTATATTATGAAACCACTAGGTGTTTTTGTTCCTCTTAGCTGAGTCACAGAGTGCCTGAGGGTTTGTGTAGCAACAGGGAGATTTGCTTCTAAGATGTGAGCGGCCCTCGGGTAGCAGCCGATGGGTGTTATGAATGTAAACCATGCTGTGAGGTGCTTCCTTAATTACACTGCAATGCAGCGCCGGCACGTCGAGTCTCCCTTTGCCTCTTTCCTTTTCCCTTTTTTCTTTTTTCTTTTATCGTCACTGTCAGCCATTAAGCGAGACAGTGAGGGGACATGGCCTTCATCAAGTCATGAGTGAGGCAACAGCAGGAACAGCCAGATGCTGCTCCTGTTGTTCCGAGCTCCTCAGAAATCCCATGTTCTCCATAATATTTCAGAAGGTGACATGCAACTGAAAGACAATTGATAAAGCAATGAATATGTCATCTGTTCACTCCCTGTCTTTCCACAGGTGATATTGTGCTTTACAGATGTCTCCCAGGATATCATCTGAATGGGAACAGCATTCAAACCTGTCGCCTGGGGACTCATCTTGAGTTTGAAGGACCTCCAACTTCATGTGATAGTAAGTCATAATGTTTTTTTTTTGACTTGCAGAAGATCTCTTGACACCAGCATATGCAGTGTTTTGGTTCCCAGTATGGTCTTTTTCTTTAGCTTAATCACATAGACTCTCGGTCAACCAGGTGGATGATAAAGACCAATTTGGTTGGGTTTTGACATGATTATGCTGGTCCAGCAGCTAAACCACCACTAAACCTAAACCAGCTTGAAACATCATCCTTTCTTTCTTCTGTGGAACAGAGAATGTGGCATTTTGAAGAATATTTCAACTGTTTTTGTCCATACAATAGATTAATTTGGACTCCATTGTATGAAAAAAAAAAAACACTGAGAGCTTTTCCAACAGAAGTAATTTTCATTTCATTTTTGGTTAAACCATGGTTCCCTTTAAACAAGCTATACTCACTGGGGTGCATTCACTAAACAGTTGCACCATACAGTAGTACTTTGATATGAATATCTGCATCTTATTCACTAACCATAAGCATTTTAAAACATTGTTAGGGACTTCTCCCCTCTCCAGTCTTTCGGTTTATATACTATAAAATCCACCCCCATGTGTTGCAATGCATGATGGGTCTATTGATCATGATGGTTGGTTCTGTGCTATATGAAGCTTCATTATTGCTATTGGCTTAGAGATGGGATGAAATACCTCAGAGCCTGTCAAGCAAACCCCATGAGTATGTTAAACGCTCATCTACCTTTCATCCAACTGCGTTTATGTGATTTGATATGGCATTTCCCATAAACTCCCCCAGTTCCTCCTCATTATGTTTGTCTCTCTACTCTCAGTGTAGAAGAATTATCTCTGAGCTCTCTGTACTAGTCATCACTGTGTACAGTAGGTCTGACTGAAAGGCTGCTTTTTAATGTCCCGTTATGAATACACTGAGGCTCAAAGGTCTGAGACCACTAATGAAAATGTTTCAAATTTGTATTAAAAAAAAAAAAAAAAAAACATTTTGCCATTAGAAATTATATAATCAACATAGTATTTAAAACAAAATGTTTAAAACTGTTTATTTCCCAGTTTAAATAGTATTATGAATCCCAAATTTTCATTGTGGTCTCATATTTTGGACCTCATATTATATATCAGAACATACATAAGCTATCCCATCCTGTGTTTGGCCTCATCTGTGATGTAAATAAAAAGCACTTGGGCTGTTTGTTTACTGGAAGCAATTTGTGGGCTGCAGTACAGCTATTTGGTGGAAAATGATTAAGGCCTGTAGAAAAAAAAGAAACAAAAATAGACAAGCTTTATCATTTCCAGCGTAAGCATATGTCAGAGAGAGCTGAAAGAGACCAGGGTTTCAGACAGTGTGAAGAGGGAGGACACACACATACGTATATATACTATTATAAAGTATAGCAGGCCCAAACATATACCTGCTCAACCTTCATGGTGGAGTGCGCTCTCTGAACCTTTGTAATTCATCCTAACATTAATTAAGTGTTGACAGTTAAGTACCTCGGCTATAAGAAAATCCCCTTATACTGAGGGCCAACATAGCCAGCTGACACCCACTCCATTTGGTCAGGGTGCTGCCTCTGGCTGTCAGTCACATTAAGTATGCCTGCCTCGTCAAACACCAGAGAGGGAACGAGACAGGAGGAGGAGGAAGAAAGCAATCTTATGCTTTATATCAGTCATTTGTTGTGAGAAACAGATCTGTTCTGATAGGATCAACAGGGAAGACAATGAAAATATGAATATTAAATTGTGACCACCCAGCCTATGTAATTAAGTAAAGTTTGGTTACCAAAACAAATATGCTTAAATTACATGATACACAATGTTGAATGGGTTGTATTTGCAATGTTGTTGTTGTTGTTGTTGTTGTTTTTTTGTTTAGTTTTTTTAAATAGGTCCAGTAACAAAAATAAAAGAGATTTTTGAGGAAAAGAAAGTATCAAAGTACTGTACAAACTCAGACTGACCAAGCCTTTGATTTGTATCACACTATTGTTTTCATCTTCAGTGGTAATGGGTAACTCTTTCCTTATCTATTGAAAATAGTTTACATTTTTCAGAAGACATATAACAGACATCATAATTGGTGGTACAGAATTACCATAATGGCAACATTCATATTATCTGTAAAAATTGTAATATTTCATATCATATTTTCTGTAAAATTATATTAGACAAAGTTCATTTGTAAACAACAGCATCTAATTATCTAATCAAAGGTGCAGTGAAAAATCCTGATGTATGAGAAATGTACAAATGTGTTTTTTATAGAGCACTTTGCAGTATTGAAAAGAATCAAATGTCATAGGGGTTTAAAAACAGCTTATTATTTGCTTTGTTCAAAATCTGCCCTTTTATTCCAACAATGCAATTTGTTCTAGAACGTGAAAGAAAATTAAATGTTGCCATATGGCTATACTTTACCATAAAGGGGCAAAAGCGAGGACAAAATATTTTAACCTTTCATAGTCTTTCCTGTTGTTGATGCCAAAGGCTGCGCATTCAGACTGTGTGGTATTTTGATAAATTCTTTCATGTGATAGGATCTAGCCAATTTGTTCAAATTCCAACAGGGACAGGCTGTGTGATATGCTCTCATCTTCAAAAAACACTACATTAAAAAAAAGACTACATTAAATACATGTTCACTTGCAATAAGAATAAAAATGGTTTGTACATAATATACTTTTATGGAAATGATTGGCCTAATATACTAACTATTGAAAATTTGATTTGATTTAAGGACAGTTTTGTTTTCTGTTATCCTGGAGAACAAGTGTGAGCAAGTATACCGAGAGATAAACTGAGGGATTGAAAGAGTAGAGAGGAAGGACAGTGATGGGTAGAGGGAATGCAAAGCTCATTGAGATGCAGAGGATATCCAGGCTGCAGGTGCACCCAGCTATTAAATCACAGCTTCTCCCCATCTGTCTCTCTCTCTCTCTCTCTCTATCTCTCTCTCTCGCTCTCTCTCTCTCTCTACCTGACATCTGATCTGACACATCCTCTTTTTGAATACATCATTCCATAAAATAGATCTCCTTACTTCTTTCAGCCTTCCTCTGATACAAGAAATCCCATCCAGAACTGTCTGTCTTCTACAGACATAATCAGATATACACAAACATGATGGCCTGATGAAACACTGTGCTCAACATTTTGTTTGATGAGCAGAAGATGCTTGATATTTAGTTGTTGTTGTTTTTTATTCCTGATTTGTTATATGTTTCCAACAACCCTGGTTAATGATAACCCTGGTTCAAGCTGTCTGGCCAAAGCCAATCACAAAGGCAGTCACATTTGAAAACACTTATGCTGCATTGCTTTATGTCTTCCCTTCTTCTCTCAGTGTTCCCCTATCTTTCTTGTTTTTTTGTATCTCATACTCAGAGAGAATATAGATATTTGAATGCTGAGAGTGCATCACATGCCATTATGCAAATTAAGGGTAGGAGAATCTCACATGTAACTTCATTTCTTTAAACATGTACACACTCTCTAGACTTCCAGTGTTTATACTCAAATAAAATATGCTTTTCATCAGTGACACACAGCGTGTAATGCACGCATGCATGTTGATTTTGTTATTCCTCCCTTCTGTCACCACGGTGACATTAAAAACCCAAAGCAATTTTTCTCCTGATGGCGTTTAAGTGCTGTTTTCTTTCATTTATTTTCTTATTTATATGACTGCTGTTATTCAGTAATTTATAATTATTTGCAGCATTTTCCTCTTATTCAAAATTCTGAGAATGTATATAAAATATTCATGTTTATGTATTATATATTATGTCTGATATATCTTTCATAGATAATGTATCATATGTCACTGCATGCATGTGAGAACTCACCTGAACACACTTTATACATGCACACAGTGCCACACTAATCTAGTAAAATTGTGTCTTTCATCTTTTGAATTCTAACAAATGGAGCAAGTACCTCCACATCTCTTGCTCATTTTGAAATCCCGCTCTTCCTCATTATCAGACATCCAACATATATCATAAATGTGTGTATGTTTCATTTCAAAACATTACTCTTTCTGGTTATTTTCAGTGATTTAATATCTCCCTATTAATTATAAAGTCCACTAGCAACTAGACATGTAATTGGACAAGATAGTCCTTAACTGACCCTTACAAATGTGTGTGACTTATCCTACCTTAGCGACTGTTCTGACTTATTATCAGACACGCTTTTAATCTTTTCTAATGTCTGAGTGTGTGGAGAATCTGTATGTTTGGATTGTTTTAAACACCATTTTACATAAATGAACAAAAAAATATGGTAAAACATGCACTAATAGCCACACAAGGTACCCAGAGAGGATACACATGGTATTATTTTCACATCTTTCATATATTTAAAGAAATCTTTAAAGTTGATGCTGTGGATGAAATTGTGTAAAATGAACTATTGATTGCAATGTTTGAAGAGACTTTATTCTTATTGGACATTCAACCTGAGCTAGCAACAGTAACCAAGGGGGCGGAGCTTAACAAATGATCAATTATATGAAAACTGCATGTGGTGAACAGAACACAAGCCTATATTGACAATTTGTGCGTGACATTTATCCCTTTCTTTGACATCATGAAATGAATGCTGTATGTTGCCATTTTTCTGAATGTATATTCTTGTGGGGGCCATATTTGCAATTTATTGTCACGAAGGGTGACATTTTAAGTTGAAAATCCCTTTTTAGATGCCAGCCGCTCTTTTACAGTAGATAATCTTCAGCTGCCATTGTTAGAGGAGCAGTTTTGACATGCCTTCTCCTCTTCTGTCAGAATCTGCCACCAAAACTGTTGTTTACATTCAGCCTTTGACAGTCCATTTCAAAGTGGATTAGGGGATAAGGGCGACCTGAGCAAGTTAATTTCCGTTTGCCGCCATAGTGAAAGGCCTGGGGTGATGAGGATTTTGATGAGATTCTGTCTAGAGGGTCATGCTCTTCCCCATTCTGTTGGGGCAGAATGGAATTAAGACTGGGCAGTGTGACGGTAAAAATGCATCAG